TGATCCCATGCTGGCGGTTCCCAGCCATGGGCTCGGAGGCTGGCTGCTGCTGCGTTGGCTGCTTGGCCGGCAGGGCCACGTCTGGGTGTTGGAGCTGGCGCAGAAGTGCTGGAGCCATGGCCGGGGCTTGGCAGCTAAGGATTGGCAACGTGTCGGCCCACGACCCCCAATATGCCGGCACAGCTGTGACCGAAGCGGCTGTCAAGCCTAGGCCTCCATCACTCAAAGCCAAGTGGGCAATCGCAAGACTGGTAGCTGGGAGCGCTGAGGTTTGGAGCAATTCGGTGAGGCAAGCGGCCACTGCCGCGTCGTGGCCGTGGGCGAAGCTCTGTGTCGCTTCGGGGGGCAACATGCGCAGCAAGTATGTGGAGCGGGGACTCGCGCAAAAGAGTACAAGGAACCAGGAGGTTTGGAGATCTTGGAGGCCGGATGAGGCCGGTTAGCCGGGTGAGCAGATCATGGTGGTTGGCTAAAAATCCCCGTTGGTTGGACGGTTGACCCTGGAACCCTAAACTTTATAAGAAATCCCGGATCCCCAGTAAAATCAACACCTGGCGAGTTATAAAATGGGTGGTCCTAGGTTCATCAAGATACGCTGATTCTTTATATAATCCTGTGGCTGAAGCATGCTTGTGGCAGCGTGAAAGGCAAAGAATTCCTCGGGGTTCCCCGGCAATGGCAGCACTCTATACTTATAAATTCCCGGCGCATGCACGCCACCATCGAACACTCGGGCAGTAGGAACCAAGGACGCTAGGGGCTCCTGGCATCGCTACTAGGAGCAAGAAGCTACTAGGGGCCGTACTACTAGGAGCAAAGGCCACTCAAACTGTTTTTCTGCTCTCGGAAGGACATGGCTGGCCTCCTCCCCGGTACAAGCGACGAGAGACAGCCCGAAACGATGTCATGCGACCACAATCAGTGGCCAAACCGCAAGCGGTTTGTTGAGATACACATGTCGGTGGCTCCAAAGCTGCTGCTTAAGTCTCAAGTATAGACTAATCTTCGGTTGTCACCTGTGGGTTTGATCACAAGAAGGCTGCATTTGCCCTTTGTGGGGCCTTTGGACAACCAATCGTTCTTCAGATCCAGGATTGAACAAATACACCAGCATCAACTCCAGGCTGCGGCAGTTTGATGTGTCTTTTTGTCAAAGTGGCTTGCAGTGCCCAATCCGTATGATCCAAAACATACCGGTCAAGCAGGGTCATTCCCAGATCAAACAAATTAAGACTTGGCTTGAACACGATGGGAGACAAAGGGAGACAACAGAAAACAAAGAGCCAGAAATCATCTTGACCCAGGATCGTTTCTATACAAGAATTGAGAACCGCTTACAGCTAAGCTGTTTGAGGAAACAATCAACTGATTCCACTTGGTCTCTTGTGCTGCTTGTTTTGAGCCAAGCCCACAGACGTATCTTTTCCAGAGGTGGTCTCGCTTTCCCGCGGCCAGGGGCGCGAGACTTGGTGGGTCAGCCAAAGATTGCACAGTCAACATGAATTGTGTATGTTTTTTTTTCCCACGAGCGGACCCACGTCACAACGACCTAGATAGACCTGCATCAGCAGCACCGATATCCTACACCACCTGTCAAGTGGATGATGGGAGGCTTCAGAAGCAGAAAACAATGCTGACAATAGCTCACACAGCCACACAGCGATTGGTGGATCCTGAATCCATCTCTGGACGAGTTCTGGACGAGCCAGGTGGTGCACGAGGCGCACAGCGGTCTAGTCCGATCGAATGTCTGCGAGACAGGCATTTTCTCAGTTGTGCCACCGAGAGGTAAGCTGCTTCAACCGGGCAAATTGGGCCTTGTCCAGTAAAGACTCGGAAATCTGTGAGCGAAAAACGAAGTGGCTTGGAGTTGCTCAGAGAAGAAACTTTGGACCACTTCTCACTACTTGCAGGATTTTGTATATCCCAAGTGCTGCAGGATAGCTTCCTTCCACGGATTCGGGCCACAGCACGTGTGGTTGAGCAAAGGGAGCAAAGACTGCTCTACATGAATCACAGTCCCTGTTGGGATGTCTGTGGCCGCAAACAAGCCCTTTCCTAAAACTTTGGTGTTGACGGTCGCCAACATTGTGCGAAAATGGTTTCACGTAGGACAGCTCTAAGGTCAGCTATATATGATATATACATATATATAGCCATGAAATCCTGTAAGTGAAAGAGCTGTGAGAAAGACTTAAGTCTTTATAATTTGCTGTGGCTTCACTCTTTATGAAATCCTGTGGATTGAGATAATTGTTGGAGCCAACCGGACAGATCAAAATTTATATAACACGACCTCCTGCCTCAGGAAAAAAATAGCGCACTAACAAACGGGGATGCTAAAACTGTGTCGAGGTGCTGGCTGGTGAACGCGGGCGTTCCCAGGTGGCAGGGACTGGGCTCCAACCCACACACATCCGGCCCTAAACTGTCTATGTTTGGTGGGCGGGTGCCTGATGCATTCCACACTCTGGCTTTGCCTTGGTGGAGCTGGAGGTGGGCTTGCGCTCGGAGTTCTCGTTCGAGAAGGTCAAACACGGGGCGGGCCCGAGCCGGTGGGACCAGGGCGTACACATCATCCAGGAAGGCGGAGAGAAACTCTCCGGGTTGAAGGTGCCCCTGTGCAGTTTGGAGTGCCGACTTACGTTCCCACCAAGCGTATGAAAAGGGAGTATGTGGGCGAAAACCCAGACATCATGGTCACGGACATCTGGGGAGAAGAAGAGCTCTTTGAAGAGGAACTGCAAGATGAAATGAAAAATGAAGGATATGTAGGTGAGGGTGAGCACCCGCCAGAGTTGCCACCTGAAGAGCTAGCCAAGCTGGACATCATTGCGCAGAGCAAGGTTGGTAGCACGGCAATTCCAACGAGGGACAGACCTCAGCATCAGGTGTGCCGCGACTCTTTGCATACATCCTGTTGCAAATGCAGGGCACATGGCAATTGATCATGGCAGATCTTTGATGCCGAAGCTGCCAACAGGAGAGAAGAGCGCAATCAAGTACAGAGACAAGAAAATACAGGTTGGACAGATGCCTACCTGGACAACGAACGGCAGCAAAACAATGGTTTGAACTTTTCAATGCAAAATCAGAGTTGCAGGTGTGATGCCACAACGTAGCTCAAGTTGAAAGATCTGCTGATTAGTGTCCATGTGGACGATGGTTGGAAAATGGACATTGAAGGACCATTCAAAATCATCGATGATGAAATCATGCACGTGAAACGAATAAACAGCATTACACATGATGGAAGCATTGTGAGACCTGACCCGCGACACACAAAAGAGTTGACAGAGATGTGTGGACTTGAGGCCAAGGGGGGGGGCGAAAGCTAGCGCTCCAGAATGGGAAAGCGGAGGGCAGCGAGGTATGAAGAGTCCTTTATATGTGGCTCTTTGCCCGGATCCTCCTGCGAGAGAAGAGAGAGAAGAGAGACGGAAACACGAGAGACAGAGAGGAGAGAGAGAGAGAGAGAGAGAGAGAGAGGAGAGAGAGATGAGAGAGATGAGAAAGAGATGAGAGAGATGAGAGAGATTAGAGAGACAGTGAGACAGTGAGACAGTGAGAGTGAGCGAGTGCGGCCGCAAGATACGCAACGCTAACCGCATGCCAAAGAGCGACGACAGGACGGAGTCGAACTTGCGAAGAGGGAGGAGGGAGGGAGGGAAGATGGGAGGAAGACAAGGAGGAGGAGAGGAGGGGAGGTGGGGAGAGGGGAGGTGGGGAGAGGGGAGGGGGGGGGGGGGTCTTCGACCTGAAAAATCAGGGGTTAGGATTTGCACCCGGTCGAAAGAAACCTTGCTATCGCAAGAGCTAGCTTTCGTGATTTGGAAAAACACCACAAGGCAAATCCTTGTGCAACAGACAGTGGCTCGTCAGCAGCAAGGTCGATGACCTCCAGACAAGGAGTCGGCAGGGTGAGACACATAAACTCAGGCATAATGTGGATTCAAGACAAGGTCCAAAACAGCAGCATTAAGATCACGGCGATCCCTACGATGCTGAACCCAGCAAACACAAGAACAAAAGGTCGAGGACGAGCACAAACAAGCACACAGAGCTGAGGATGCAGATGCTAAAGAAGGAGAATGGAGTGGCGAACAGCACCAAGGGCGAGATGAAAACAGCGCTAGTGATGCTTCTCTGCTTTGAGTATGCGTGCGGATCCTCAACTAACGTGGTTGGAGCCTTGAGCGTGGCTATGGGCATGTCGAACAAAGGCGAAAACAGTGAGAACAATATCTGCCAGACACAGGAGCAGGACGACCCACATATCGTCTACAAACTCTAGGAGCGAATTGATGAACTGCACAGCATAATTGACTACAGACATGAGCAGATTCAAGTTTTGACTCAGGCACTTCAAACCTGTGAAAGTCAGCTGAAGACGCAGCACCAGCAGAGCGCGGTGGTGTCATCGGCAGTCAGCGAACACGAACAAACATGGATCAGATCGCAAAACGCGATGCTCACAGAGCACCCCTGTGGCAATGTATACCACAGACACCGAAAATGCAAGTGGTTCCAGGGTGGACGAAGTCTAACCCAGTGTGCTCCGCGCAAGAAACATCAGGAGCAAGAAGGCGGCACGTCAGGAAATTGCAGCATCTAGACGCACAGTCTTGTGCCCATGATGTGCACATAGGAATGTACATGATACCGAACCTCATTTTGCAGATTGCAAGGAGCGCAAACTTCGCTACATACATACATACATACATACATACATATTGACTTACTTACTTACTTACTTACTTACATAAATACTTACAGAGATACATACTTACATACATACATACATACACACATACATACATACATGTTTACTTAACCTTCCTTATCTACATTACATTACATATTTACTTACCCACTCATGGATCTTCTACATTGCATACATAAAATGAAATACGTACGTGCCTACGTACGTACATATGCGAACTCATATGTGACATGTGTGTTCAAATGTATATTGCTTCGTCGAAACCTCAGCAGCCGGCCAAATCCTCGATGTGTTTGGCATCGCTGACGCTGGGCAAACGTTGTGAGCTGTTGGCGTAATCCAAGGCCTCATCGGCACCACAACATGAAGGTGGGCACTAGAAACTGGCACAAGACACTTTGCAACAGGTGCCAACACAACCTTTTGAGGCAAGGGCTAAGATCAAGAGGTGGATACGATGATCCTGGCACCGAGAAAGCGGTAGTTTGGCCACAGTGGTTCGCCGGTGCGCATGGTTACCGTTCAAATTTGGCATTTGGAACCAGCATGTGCCAGCCACATCCTTGTCATATCTTTTCTTCAGGATCGTATTGGATCAATGCTGGGTGGACACTATGATTGTGATCCGCCGGCCTCACGGTGGAAAATGGGAGCCTGCAAGTGCTGCGAATCTGAAATCGGCAACGGTAAGTTCATGAAAGTGCACAAAAGTGCACAAGACACTGACAGCAAAAAACGCACATGAGGTGCCTCACAACAGCACTTCATGCCGCATACACCCGTCAAGGTTCATTCATGTGACCACTTCAGGAGCACCAGGAAAACGCAACGAATTTTTAGCCAAAACAGTCTTGAAACCCACATAGCATGCCCAGTTTGACGTTCGACGACCGCCTTTTGACATAGTTGGTTCGCGCAAGTTCACGCACCATAACGAACCACGAACAGCAAAACTTGGATTAAAACCAACATGATACCAACATAGTAGGTGCTTCAGCAACTGAAGTTACCCAATCTTTCCCGTGCACCCTCCACGCCATCAAATCAAAAGCGTGGCCGAGCAGCCGCCCGCTTGTAGTTGGAAGCTCCGTTCACTTGAGAATTTCGTTCTCGCACTGCCTTAGGTCAACTAGGCGCAGTGATAATATAACCTTCATATAGCCTCCAGGTTTGGAAATGCATGCAGCCTTGCACCACACCCATGTCATTTGGCTTTCCGGATTCTTCAGGCAAACACGCTCATCAGGGCGGCAGCATGGTATGCATCAAGGCATCCGTTGCCAGATTGTGTTGTTGCATGTGGGAATGGCATGTTATGACATTGCGGCGCTGCTCCGGAGACTATTGTGTGTTTTGCACATGGAAGAGACAGTGCACCAGGCACATAGCTTCAAAAAAATGATGATTTGATGCTTCTTTGCTGGCACGCACATCTACGGTATATTTGTGATAGCCTTTAATATGCCCAACTTCTTTTCTAATCTTCGAACCACAATATCACACCAGCAGCGGCATGCAGGAATCACGACATCATGATCCATGTCGCAGCGTTTGCCACAGATCGGAACATAATGAAGTCACATGGGACTTACGCGTCGTCCACCTGCTCACTGGCAGGGCAGCAGTCTGCAATGGCAAAAATTTTGAAAGTTTTTGCTCAAAACGCGGCGTGGCCGGACCTCAAACGCGTGCTTCGGCGGGCAGTGTTCCCCGCCAAACCTTAACCGCAAGCGTCGGCGGACAGTGTTCTCCGCCGGACCTCAACCACGAACTTCAGCTGGCAGTGTTCCCCAGCAGACCTCAACCGTGAATTTCGGCTGGCTGCGTTCCCCGCCGGAGCTCAACCGCGAGGAAAAAAAAAAGATATATTGCTGATAAAACGCCAAACGAAATGCCAGAGAAAATTTAGAAGATAGGCAGAGGATATGCCAAACGAAATGTCAAAAGGTATGGCACAAGACATGCCAAATAGAATGCCAGAAAAAAATGCCAAAAGATATGCGAGAATGAATGCCAGAAAAATATGCAAGATAGAAGGCCAAAAAATATGCCAGTCTGAGGGAACTTCTTGTGTGACCCACTATTTGTCCAAGCGCGGGCCGTCTGTGAACGGGATCCTAAAAACAATAGTGTGGCTACAGTCGGAAGAACAAAGCAATCCGTAATATACTTTTAAAAAATAGCATATTTATGTATTATAAATTGCCTTCGTGTGTCAAAGCTCGTCATGCGCACAGTCGAAATGCTAAAGGCATAATCATCCTATCGCCAGCCATGCTATTTGGTATTTTGAACAACCATAGAATGAAATGAAGTACGCCAAAGCATCGGCCCCAAGGTCCTCCCGCACAGTTCCTGTTTTGTGCGTCCTGAACGGCCTAATTTATCCAACATCAATGGGCTCCTCGACTCCTCAACGTCGCGTCGTTAGCAGCAACGCGTGACACCATCATGAAACGGTTATTCCAAGGGAAAAAACTACACATGCAAATCGGATTTATATTGGATACATGGTGGTTGTCCAATATTCTTGTTTATTGAAACGGCCATTCTTCGCGAAAAAAACATTAACATTCGCGAAACTTTCGCGAACCCTGTGTTTTTCTTTCGCGGGGGTTCACCATGTCATGAAACCATTCAACCTGGTAGGGACTCGATTTCTAAATACAGTTTGTGGGGTTGCTATGGGCTACGGGGTTCCTCTGGAGCCGATTCATTCGCCGAAACCTTCGCCAGACTTTCGCGAAACTTTCGCGAAATAATCCCTGTGCTTTGGAGGTTTTTACGGCATACATAACATAGGGTGGACTACATGAAACAGGAAGGAAGCTTCACACGGATTCCAAAGTTGAAGCTGCTGACGGTCAGAAAAGGATGTGGTTATGCATGGGGCAAGCCTGAAGGCTCGCCAAAGAACATACAATAAAAATTCATACTTTCGCGAATCTTTCGCGAAAAAAACATTAACATTCGCGAACTCGAAAAAAAACTTTCGCGAGACCCACGATCATGTCATCCAAGGCTCTTGACATTAAAAACCCTTACAAGGACCTTTTGGATAACTCCCACATATAAAGAAAAAAAATGCAAATTGAATGAATACACGCACAAACGGACTGACGCACCACAATGAATTCAATCTGCTTTCTTATCTTTCTCACTGGAGGCCAAGATGATTCTACAGCTCGAAGAAGAAACACATTGGCAATTCTTGGCAGTAATATGTGGTAAATATTGGCATCAATCTTCAATCAATCATGCAAACATTGCAACCACCACCACTATGCAGCCAACTAAGTTCAATAAACTGTAGGTGCGCACTGAAGTCGGTCATTGCAGGGCAAGCCATAACTACAGGAAATGTAATGCGTGGAGCTTGTACTGTTCGTGGTACGGACTTCACTTGCCACCAAACAAACAGTAACGGACTCACCTCTGTGCATTGAGTGCGGCCATAGTGTGAGTGGCTGTCTTGCGACGGACCGCTGTTGTTTAGGGCTCTGTAGGGTGCTACGGCGCACTCGCAACACAGGCTCACACGGAGTCAAAGAAATTGGACCTTGGACCTGAAGCTCGGAGCTGCAGCACGTGATGAATCGAGACGAACGCACACGCAGCTGCTGCGCCCGCGCAGCTGCGCCCAGCACAGCTGGGAGAGCACAGACTGGGGTTGGGGTGGAGGTGAGCCTGCACCAGACTCATCGCATGGAGCCTGGAGCCCCCAAAGGCTCAAGAAACATGAGAGAACTGCTCCGTAATCAGCAAAGCAATTCTGAATGGACAGCCCAGCGCAACAGTGATGAAACCCGCTCATTTGCAAAGGCGTTCCTGTGAAAGATGCTGGGCTTCAGATGCCGCACCGTCGCGAGGGGATGCCGACCGAACAAGGCCCCAAGAGGAAGCTGCCGGGAAGGAACAACAATGCAGCCAAGCCAAAAAACATCAACAAATTGCAAAGATCTAGAATACTATGGAGTGATTCAATGGCGCTTTGCTTTAGGCACAAGTTTGATTGAAGTCATTGTGACGCTTCCTTTCAGCCTGTTCGTTCCTCACTCGAAGAGTCTCCAACCCCTTGCCACGGGCAGGAAGAACCGTTCGCACGCCTTTGCTTCACCCGGCCACATCGGTCCCAACATGTCCAATCTCACGATCACCAGAGTATGGGACGCCAGCCAGGCTGAGCGAGCCAGGCTTGCACCCATTCAGGGAACAACATTCAGAAGACTCCAAGACGTCCAAGACGTCTGACGTCTGAGTTTGACTCAACAGTTAGATGCACAAAACATATCAAAACATCACAAAACCCAACACCCGAGTTGACTTTTGGGTTTCTGCTCGCATGCGCCACCGCAAACGATCAAGAAAAAAGCTGCCAGTTCCCGCCAGTTCCGCAAACGCTCGAGTCGCTGCTCGCAGAACAACGGATGGGATGCAGATCGGCCGTTCGACCGTCGCCGGCGAGTCGAAGGGACGGCCGTTCTCCCGTCGCGGCGGGGCGAAGAGCGAAGAGCGAAGTCTGTCCGATGACTGCGGTGGGGTGGATCAGTGGAGATCGGTGGATGACGGGTGCTTCTATCGTTGTGTGCTTTGTTTTGTCGTCTTTCTGCTTGATATGACCATAAGTTGACCATAAAATGCTAGTGATGCTCTGAAAGCTGTTGTTGTTTACATGTGCTTCCCCACAACATCTAGCTTTACCATGCTTTACCTCCTTCCGGACTCTCCTTCCATTCCTCATCCTTTCTGTTTGTTGGAATCAAGGTGAATCAAGGTGATATGCTTTGTCAAATCATGTGGGATTGTTCCCTGAAATTCTTGTACATTTATGCGTTTCCCTGCAGTGCTAGCATCTGTGCGTCAATTTTGTTTCAGTGTAGTCCAACATCCACCGAGAGACGCGAGAGTCATTACTTCGTACTTCGGATGTCCTTCGGACCGAAGGACCGAGGTCCTTGCGGCTCGCCCTTGCGGCTAGGGCCCCAAAACGTGCGCCAACGTGAGTGGGCCAGGTGTCCAACACCACCCGTCACACCACTCGTCACAACCGTGGAACCGCTGTCGATGGTTGGTACCGTCGTTTCTGGCCCGTCGGGCGGCCACTGACGTGGGTGGGGCGGTGGGTGGCGCCGTTTCGCAGGTACGAAGCAGAGCGAAGCAGCTGCACTTTTTTCTTCCTCCGTCTTTGTCCTTGCGCTTCTTCTTCTCTCCACCTGAGACAACAGGTGTTGTGAGCAACCAGAAGTGCCAATTGAACAGTGGCAAGTGCCAGGAAAAGAGTTAAGAAGATCTCCAACATCCTCGAAGGTACTGCTTCTTGACACAGTCACAGAGATGTTGTAAAGACTCCTGTCTTTTCTCAAGAAAATGCATGCAACTGGTGGCATCTACCGGTGGTCCATGGTTCTTCATATAGTATTTTTGACTAATTTTGACTACTAGGGGAATCCATTGCATGAGTACTGTAGATCCAAAAGAAAAGCTTTTAGAGTGCTGTGCACTCCGACCTGCCCCAATATTCTCCTACAAGTGACTCAAGTTGCTTGGAAGCCATGCGCGGGGCTGGGGAATCGAAGATCAACTCAAGGGCCCCAGAAGTGGAGTAAGCCGAGATAAGCCCAGATAAGTCGTTCATCGATCTCTTTGGCAGCCAAGTCGTTAAAGGAAGGTCCGGAACGGTGCCCGGACTCACAAAG